CAGTAAAACACTTTTTCATGAATGAAGGCGAATAGACATATCCCAGGATAATGTTGCTCCAGTCCAAAAGTTCAGAAGACAAAATCTCTGGTTTCCAGATTGGATCATGCAAAGCACTTTTTGTTGCCCCCATAGAGCCAAATTTCAACAATATATTGTAGTTGCCTAAAACCTTTCAGACCAGTGTCCTAATATTTTGATAAACAGAAAGCCAATATCTGTACTGAAGTCCTCCATAGAAAGAAGACAGTAAAACACACAACATTCCAAAATCTCTATACAGGTAGTCCTCATGTTATAACCACAATTGAGGCCCAACTTTCTTTTATTAAGTGAGAAATTTGTTTGAGTTATGTTCAGTTTTGCCCCATTTTATGACCTTTCTTGCCATAGTTTGTTAGGTGAATCAGGGCAGCTGATAGGTTAGTAACCCACTTGTTAAATGAATCTGGCTTCCCCATTCACTTTGCTTGTCAGAAGGTCGCAAAAGGGGATCACATGATCTTGGGACACAGCAACAGTCATAAATATAAACCAATTGCCAAGCATCTTAATTTTGATCACATGATCATGGGGGTGCTGGAAAGGTCATAACTGGAAAGGTCATAACAAAATTGCCATAACTCACTTTTTTTCAGTGCCATTGTAACATTGAATGGTCACTGAGTGAACTGTTGAAGGTTGAGGACTACTTGTATTCCTGAACCTACCTAGGTATGCAACGTTAGTTCTGGCTACTTTGTATACTTTATATACCCTAAAATGGAGCAGCTAGGCCTTGTCTCCTCAGCAGGTGATAGCACCTAGCAACCCTTGGCTGATCTTACAAACTAAGCAAGATCAGCTCTGTTTGAGAGACCCTTGGGAAATCTAAGGGAACTGGATGAACAGGGAAGGGGAAAAAGAAGGCAGCAGTAGGACATTATCTTCATAACTCTTCCAGGAAAACTGCACCAAGGGTGGGTTCCTGCCAGTTCTAACCACTTCTATTCAAATCTACAGTGCCATTTAGAACCAGTTCCAGCTCCCTCCCCCCGCCTGTCCGCACATTATCAAGATGAAGAGCGACAGGGGGAATTCTGGGAGTTGAAGTCCACAAGTCTTAAAGCTGTCAAGTTTGAACACCCCTGGGGGTTTTCTTTCTAAAGGGTTAGGGGTGCAAGGGTCACATGATTGCCAAGCCACTCCCACTTGGTCACATGGCCAGCAAGACACTCCCACAAAGCAGGCCACACTTACAGAAGAGGTTCTAAAAAATTTTGAAACCCACCACTGAACTGCATGGATGCAGTCACCTGGGGTCAAATTTGACTTGGGGGTGTCTTTTGGGGGGGAAATTATGGATAGTTCTAGAACTTTCTGAGGGTAGGGGTATGGGGAGTAATGGTGAAATACTTCTGTCCACCCCTCTTTATGCTGTTTTTTCAGAAGTACTGCCCTCAGAGTATAACAGGTAAGTAAGTGCTAACTGTGTGTATGGTCACCATATTTTCAGACTAACCTGAAAAGGGGGAAACCTGAAATAAATTCATAAAGGATAAAAAATAGTCAATTGTTTATGTTTCTAACTTTGCTCTGCAAAGGAAAATTCAAGAGTAAAACCAAGAAAAACTTTACAAAAATGCATATTTGAATAAAAATATCTAAGATCAGAACTATATTCAATTTACTTCAAAAAAGGGCAATTTTTGTATTTTTTGTGTGAATGTAAATGACTGTATTAAGTGATATCATCTGGGTGTAAAAGTTAAATGATCAAAATAAGAGATAAAAGTAAGGTTTTGGGAAATAAATACATTTAAAGGAGAGCTTTCTGAAATAAAGATCTTGGTTTTTTTAAAAATAAATAAATAAAGGGTGTCTAGTCACCAAATAACTGTGCAACCTGTGCTACTGTAAGGGCCAAAATATTGAATGGCATCTAAACTCATCAAAGGCTCCCTTACGATTACACTAATAATAATATTCTCATAATCATATATTTTGCAGCATGTATTTTATGATTTGGGTCATGGTTAACATGTTGGAACTGGAAACCCTTGTGGAGCTAATTGCATAACTTTAAGTTATTCTCTTTCAGCCTAACCTCTCACACAAAGTTTTTGTTATGGAGAAACACAGAGGAGAAGCAGAGCTCCTAGAGGAAAGACAGCATACAAATCTGATAAATCAATAAATAAAAGTAATAATACTATTTCTTACATATTCCATCCAGTTGCTAAGAGAAGAATGTTCAGTGGCTGCATGGCAGAACCTGTTAAAACCATAGAAAAAAAGCACTGCAGAAGAAAAAAAATACAGAACATTATAGTTCCCATGCATTTCAAATAATATTTTACCCAGGAGAAGATGGCTTTCTGATTGAGATAATGTAGGCAGATCAATAAGGATGATCAGATTATTCCTTAAAACGGCTATTGTTCATTAAATTAAACTTTATATTTTAGGATAGTTGAAAAAGGTAGCTTAGATCAGGGGTGTCAAACTCAATTACTTTGATGGCCGTATCAGGGCTGTGGTTGATCTCAGGAAGGCGGAGCATGTGTGGCTAACTGGATGGGTGTGGCCACCTTGACATCACTCCCCAAATTGCTGGCATGTTTTCTCTTTGCACTGGGTAAACCAGGACGGCCCCAAGGACAGATCCAACCATTTTTTGAGCAGCATGCGGTCCGCAGCCCTTGAGTTTGATAAGTGGTGGGTTGCATGCGGTACACCCCAGTACGGGCGCACTGGAACCTGCCAGGAGCAGCAGGTACTGTTCTGGTACGGTGCTCTGGAGGGCCCACTCGCCTGCTCTTTCTCCTTTCCTGTCTTTAAACCCTTTGGTGCTTCCGCGCACATGCATGGCACTTACAGCGCCTGCACGATGCCCCGCCAAGGAGCAGGAGCATCGCGGAGGCTTGCGGAGACGTTGCTGGATGGTAAGACGCATGCGCATGCGTGCACGCGTACATTCATGTGGAAGACGCCCGGCCCTGTTGCAACCATACCCGTTGCAACAGGATCCAGAACCCACCACTGGTTTGATACCCTTGGCTTATAGAACATTTTAGATTGCTTGGATAGCAGGAAAGTTGCCCATCACTTTTTATCAATAAACATAAATATTTTCATTTGATAGAAAGTTTTATATTCAGAGAATAAAACTATTTCATCCATGCATCTATTATTGTTTCTTGCATTCTATTATTGTCATCCATGCATTCCATTATTGTCCCTCTATTAACAGTTTAAATATTCATACAGAAATAACCTTTTAAGAATTATTAAGTGTTTCTTCAGATATAACTTGATAGGTAAATTGTTTTAAGTGTTTTACAATGTCTTTTTGAATTTGTGTTTAGTTTTATTGTTTGGGTTTAGTTTAATTGCTTTGGGCACCAACCTTTGACAGAAAAGTAGGGTACAGATTCAAGAATCAAATGCATTTCCCATGTATTTACTTAGCAAGTAAAATCTTGTCAAATCTTATTGTACATATTATTGCCTATATTGGTTTTTGACCCATATCATCCTTTGCATCTGGTGCATCCTTTTTGCATTTAGTCTGGGAACTTTCTCCTTGTCAGAATATACCAGCCCATAGGAGACCCTGCATTAATACAGGACAATGATTTATTGATGAGAGGGTGAAATGGGAGGGGAATTTCCCTCACTCAGTCACTAAATAATGGCTCCCTGTTCCCACTATCCTTTATTGGCTTGACAGTTTCCTGGCTGGTTGAATTTATTAATCAGCCATGCTTTGCTAATGAGATTGTTCTCCTTGTTTAAGTCAATCTTGTATTCCCATTATTCTTCCATATCTTAGGAT